TTCGCCATTGAAAGATAATGCTAATTCTAGATATAGATTTTCAAATAAATAAATCATTTGATTACCTTGAATATAATTAAAATAATAATAAAAACGATCTCCCTTAGAACGACACTCCCTTACATTTAATAACCTCTTCCTTCCGAAACATTAAATTTAGCTTAACTGCATTTATTTAAGTGTCTGTTCATACGGGCATAAACCCATTTGGATTCCCATACCTGTCCCGCAAAAATAACCAATATATATTCAATTATCAATATTCCGGGAGGGCTAACTTTGTTGGTCGAGCATCCGCATAGTTATGCCCTCGTGGCCCGTAAGCTGCTTAACTATTTTAATTTTCAACGTGATAGGGTCATTTTTTGCCATTTTATTTTATCAGCCATATGCTGCGTGAATCGGGTGGATCGGGGAGTGGGTTTGGGGATTGGGTATTGGCTCACCTTTGTGCGATTTTTCAATAAATTCCCGGGCTTCGTTGGCGGCCTCAGAAAAAGATATCCAAAACACGTGACAGATTTGCTTGGATTACATACGCATTACACACGCACAGGCACAACCTCACTACCACACAAAGCCACCGCACTACACATCAGCCTGTGTGTGTGAGAATATCTGTGGATTAACTTCAAAGGAGCCGCACAATTCAATGATGGTTTTGCTGTTGTTATTTCTGTTGATATCCTTAAGGATGCACTGCGAGAACGTCGCCTAGACGGCGTATTAAGAATCAAGCATACGCCTGGGCGCCACACAAATCAAGCATACGCCACCGGGACGCACAGCAACCGACGCACGAGAGTCACGGCTGGAGTCACAGTCACGTCACTGTTTTGAGTCACCCTTAATGGCAGTAACGTACACACTGAGCGGTTAACACAACTGAAGCCCACGACAACGGCATTCGAAGTGGCGACGGGTGATTTCAGCAGTCACTACGACCCCGCAAAAGCTCGGCCAACTCGCAATGAAAAGCCGAGCTAGCCTGCTCGGAAAATAGCCATTTAAGAGACTTTAGCTCTCTTCTCGAAGAGCATCCTTTGGGTGCGTCTGCCGGCAGACATGCGCAGTGGGCGATTCACCAACTGGCAATTCCAGTGCCTTACTTTATCCCGTGGATACGTCCCAAAAACAAACAGCAACAGCTGTTCCGCGAGGCGCGGAAGACCCAAAAAAGCTGTCCTCGTTGTTGTCGGCTTCTCTGTCGCACTCTCCCGATACTCCCCGATTTCTGGCTATATGTGAGCTGTGTGGCGTGTCTTAGGTCAGAAACGTCGGCATCCGAAAGTGGGTAATGGGCATTGGGAGATGGGAGGTGGGTGAACGATGGGAGAACCTTTGCCGGTGTTGGCAGAATTTTTAATTATGATAAATGCCCATTCATAAAAATGAGTGGCATACATTTGCGTTGCGTGTTTATTTTTATATTTCGTACATTTGGTATATTCTGCATAATTATTATTGCCATTATTATTTCTCCTTTTTTATATCTCCACTGTCTTCTTCTGCGCTGTTTTTTTGTTGTTTTTGTTTAGCTGTCAGTAATTTGTTAGCTCCATCTTTGATGGCTTCCCTCCCCCTTCTGTTTGCACTTGACAGGCCAAGATTTATGCGACTGCAGTTGGTGGTGATTGCTGGGGAATTGGAGAGTGGCATGGGGTGGCGATGGTAAGTGGTGAGCGGTAAGTGGTAAGGAATAAGGGTTGGGCGCCTGATGATCGACTGCCGGCTGCAGGTGTTGATGGCCCAGATGTGCCTCAATCACCATCAGCGTCAGTTAATAAAATCACAGCACGACGTTTGATGAATTGTTGCGATTTTTGCCACTGACATTTTTGAGGGCAAACCGATTATCCGACTATTAAACAAACAAAGGCAATTACAAAGGGGAGGGGACTACAAAAATCTAGTAGCAGAAATGTAAGCCTTTTTTGGATAAGATATCAATTTTATTAATATAAATCATTTCGAGGAAATTGTAAGTATGGGTTTTTAGGACGGTGTTTGGTAAATTTTCATTATTGACCAACAATTTGTCATTTGTATCAGCCGTACAAGTCAACTGTACTTTAATTAAAATTATTTAACATTTAAATTTTTGTAAATGAAATGTCTTACTTCCCTTAAATCGTTTTTAAGGTCTTTGGAGGTGCTACTCAAAGGACTTTGCTTGTTACTCATTGTTGCGAATAGGTTGCAGGATGTAAGATCCGGCATCAACTCATCTCAATGCAATGTCCGACCACTCGACAAAAACCAAATTGACCAAAGTTAATTTAACCACTGTAAACAAACCGGGACTCAAGTGCCCGAGCACTTGAAATGCTTCGCTGGCCACGAGAAGAGAATAAGGTGCAAAAAAAAGACAGATCGGGGGTGAAGTCGGATGAAAATCGGGAGGGGTGCTCGCAACATACGTATACGTACGTACTGTTGTGAAAATCAATTGAAGCGCCAACAAACGCTTCAATCAATTTTACTTTGGCAAACATTGAGTGCAAAATAAATCACAGCACCGACTCGAGACGACGGTGGATGCTACTCCCCGAGATCCTGGATTTTGGACCCGGAACAGAGGGACAGGGGATCCGGCCACCCACTGAGCTCATCCTTGTGTTTATCTTATTTATGCAAAGCTGTGGCAAACACCAACAATAACAAGCCAGGATGTGCGGCGAAGGCAGCTAAAAAATGAATGAATTCAATGAAATGTGGGTAAAAGCTGAGCGAGAACGAAAGATGCAACGAACGAGAGAGAAGGAGTGCAAAAAATTGCAACAAACCGATTGGCAATGTGCGAGTGTGCTTGTGTGGGGACATCATGCTACTTGGAGGCACATCAAACATCTCAAACGGAATGAATAATTTATAGACGCAAAGAACGGAGGGAGAGCCAGTCGCGTAAGCCAACTGCACAGAATTTCTTTCGCACAGCCAAGGGCGTCGGCAACGGGATTGTAGGGGGCCTATTCCACCCTTACAATTTTGCAAAATACATTTTGGCAAATCGAATGTTAGGTCCCAAATGTTAAATAATAATACTCTTTAAAATATTTTCCATGTCAAATTTTATAACAAGTTTAAATCAAACCTTGGCTTGCCAATAATGCAATGACAATATCAATTGCATTTGTAATTGCATTTTATTTTTTCGTCGTTCATCGATAGACTCAACATTTAAATTAATTTACTTAAGTAAATTATTCAAATTTAGTTTGTGAACTTTTGTCAAATAAAATATAATGTTATTATCTTGAAATTTATGCATAGTGTATTTTTCATACTATATTTGGATTGGTCTTTTAATTTTTGTAATTATTTTGTGTGTATTTTTAAAAAAATAATATATATTTCTAGACCCCTTGTATGCGCTCATGTATGCAAAAACAGCCCTCAGCCAGCTACGCATTAGTTGGCACACACATTCCATTCATGGATTTCAATGCGACTGACAAAATAAAATGGCAATGCCGATGCAGAATGTAAATGGCAACTCGAGGTGCTTGGGATACCTTTGCATTTATTTTCATTTTTCGCACCAGCACTTGCAGCATAACTCCCGCAAAAGGAAATTTATTTCGAGCACAAAGCAGCCAAGTGTCAGTGATGCACTTGCAGCCTTTCATATTTACGGGGAAAGTCTGCTTTATGTGCCGATTGTCGTTCAGCCAGCCAGCCAAATGCGATTATCGCGTTATCAAATCTGCTGTTTCGCACTCGGCATCCAATTCATAATTCCAGCCGCGTCAAACGAAAAGTTTAAATAAATGACTGCAGAAAACTTTGCTAATCTGACGGAAAACAAGCGGGGACCGGAATGACGGAATGGAAATTCAGGCAAAAAGCAGAGCAGTTGACTTTGATGCTGGTTAGACCACACTGAAATTCGTCAATTTTTGAAATGCCAGCGGAGAAATCAAGGCGAAACAACTGTCTCGTGGTAAATATTAATTTAACTTTGCGCATTAGCCGAGCAATGACACTTGACTGTGGAGAACCTGTGGCACCACATCGCGTTAAAAGCCGGTCACAAATGTTGGGGGGTAATCGACCCATCCCCCGCCCTCTGGAGCTCCCACATCCCAGGGGGTAAACCACAGTTATTTGTCTATTTGCCTATGCGAAATTTGATGCGCTGTCTGCCAGTCTGTTTTTTTTTGGTGGCAATGCTTGTAGTGTCTCTGTGCTGTTGTGCCTCTCATTATCGTAAATTTTTATGCTAAATACATTTCGTTGTCGGACCCAAAAATACAAACAACTAAACCGAAAGCGACAAAAGAAATCCAAGATTTCCTTCGACATTCTCTATGCAAATGGGATACTCTATAATGAAAAAAGAAATGTAAGCCTGATAAGAAATTATGAAATAATATATACATTTTGGATAAAGTACATACGATAAAAACGATACATTTACTCTCGACGTCATTAAAGCATATTTAGCAATTATTCATTGGATTTTTAAAGTGTTAATTCTCTAATAGCTTAACTGAGTTTTATGGAAATGAAGCTTTAATTAAATTTTTAGACTCTTGGAAAATACAATAAATCAAAATACTGGATTAAATTAAAATAGCGATACACAAAGCTTGTTCAATAGAAAACATGCTCTATTTAGACCAAAGGACATTTGTGCCAGCTGCCGCCACGTGGATGCGACTCCTCCGCTACCCAACATAATCAAGGAAACTCGCATATGGGGGGCGAACCTGTGGTCCCTGACAAATTGAACAATTTAAAGAGGGATTTGTGGGTTTATTGTGTGCCTGAGCCGGACTAGGTCCCGTTGCGCTTTAAAAGGTATTCACTCCGGAATCCGAATCAAATTTCCACGCGGAAACGCGCTAATGGAGGTAGACCGAAGATTGAGTGCTTCTGGCGATCTAAGAGGCGATTTTGAAAATAAAACAAATCTCTTTCATATAGAGAAAAAAAACAAAAGAGAAGATATGATTGCTTTATTTACATAGCTTTGTCTAAGTAAATGCACTATAATTTTATACGTTCTGGAAGAGTTCTTGTTTTTTCTTACTTATCTCATCGGACAGATGATCTCGTAAACTTTCCGACGCCCTCTTCAAATAATTTATCACTTTAAAGGCTTCTATCCTTATAGGGTCATATTCATTCCTAATTACCTGCTTACTATTATTATTTTTTATCGATTCTGCCGTTTTGTGTATATATTTATCGAATTCCCTGCCACAGTATTTTTCCTCTTCCAAAAACCGAAATCGTTGCAGGCACAATCCTTGGTGTTTCTCCGACTTAAGTTTAAAGGAGTCAAGCTCCTGAATTCTCCTCTGGAATTGATCACATAATTTCTTGATCCTGCACTGATCATTTCGGACCATATTAATTGCCAGATCTGCTGATTTTCGGACCGATAGCAGCTGAGTCATTTGATGACCCAGTTTATTATTATCAATTTGCATCTGAAAAATCTCGGTGTGGACTTCGTCGGCCTTGGACAAAAATATAAGTTCTTGTTTGCAGATATCAATATTTTTGCATTCAGGTATGTTGCCTCCTAGTAGCTGATTGAGCCGATTTACGCGCAGCCTCACTCTACTAACCTCCTCGTAAATGTCAATGAATTCCTGCTGACTTTCTTCAAGTGATTCTTCCGCTGCGTCTTCAACGACTAATGATCCTTGGGATGTGGGATCAGCTTGCTCTTCGCAATGGAAAACCTTAGTTGGCTTAGCCTGAGTGGAAATCACTAAACTATTTGATTCGTTTTTAGGGGATGGCTCATTATTATTCGGAATACCAAGGTCAACAATTCCTGGCGCCTTGCATGGTAAAAAAAGGAAAAGCGTTTCATTGGGTTCATTACTTATAACGTATTTATCTTTATCCATTAATTTAAACTATCACTCAACTTGTAACCAATATCCAATAAACGGAGAATGCAAAAACAAAATTAACTGAGACAATAACTGCTAGGTAAAATATTTTGAAATTGTTTTAACAGAAATCTCAGTGCAAACTAATTCAATGAAAACAAGAGGGAACGTTATAGTCGGGTGCCCCGACTATCAGATACCCGTTACTCAGGTAAAGGGAGTGCGAGGGAGATGGAGATAGAGATAGAAAACGTTGATCACGCATAACTTTTGGTCCGACTTGAAAAATTTCTTCTACATTTCGATAGGTATTGATAAACACAATAAAACTGCATTTTTACTTTTCCAAAATATTAAAATTTTTTAAATCGTATATAAGTGATTGTGGGCGTTAGAGGGGGCGTGGCACCATTTTGAAACAAACTTGCGCTGCGTAGGAACTCCTAAAATCTGCATGCAAAATGCCAATCTTCTAGCTTTTATAGTTTCTGAGATCTCAGCGTTCATACAGACAGACAGACGGACAGACGGACAGACGGACAGACGGACAGACAGACGGACAGACGGACAGACGGACATGGCTAGATCGACTCGGCTAGTGATCCTGATCAAGAATATATATACTTTATGGGGTCGGAAACGCTTCCTTCTCCCTGTTACATACTTTTGCACGAATACAATATACCCTTTTACTCTACGAGTAACGGGTATAACAAGAGAGTCAAGAGCTTTATCTAATTAGCTGTTCTCATCTTACTATTTGCTTCTGATATTGAGAACATTCAACAAAAGCATTTGTGCGGGCTTTAAAGACGAATATTTATTAACAATTCTCTTTGTGTAAAAGTTCATTTTAAAATTTTTATCAATTTTTTTGGTTTTGTTTATTTTTCTAGTAACAACTCATAGAAAGATCTTTTTTTCAACACATATGGGTCTAGTCCGTAGTAGTTGCAGGCATTCTGCGGTTCAAAAAGGACGACAAAAGCAGATGCATTCAGGGTGCAGCATCACTTAACCCTCCTTCAAACCGTACAAGCACATGCAGAGCAAACATACACACTAAAAAAATGAGTTTTTAATGTATTGTAAAATGGGTACACAGAAATCTCTTGGGACGAAATTGGGATGGAATTTAAATTGAATAATTTCCATTAAGAAAGAAATTTTAAAAATATTTTACGCAATTTAAGCTTTAATTATGCATATGCTTTGAATACCTAAACAGATTTTTAGTCGAAATGTAAGTCATAATAATAAAATGTATCAAATATTGTATTCTTTGTTGGTTTTTTTGTTTTTTTTTAACAAAATATTTTTTTGTTATATACTTTGGGTTTTTCCGACCCTTTAGACGTTTGTAAAGTAACAAGGAGGCGCGATATATACAGTGTTGGGAAAGGTACTGTGTTTTTTTTACCTAGGTAAGGTAAAAGGTATTGTCAAAAATAAATACCTAGGTAAGGTAAAGGTACTTACATTTCCCAGTACCTAGGTAAAGGTAATAGGTATTTATAAGGTATTTTTTATTTTTTATAATTTTTTTGTTTTGTTCAATGTAATCATTTAAACTTAAAATAAGACTAGTTTTCAGTTTTTAGTCGTCTTAATAAAACAATATCTTTTCATTTCATTTAAATTTAAATGTTTTAATTTTGTGCATATATTTTTAAACCACGCGGCATGAATAATTTTATGCACGTATCACTTCATTAATGTATTTATGAAACCCTCATGTACATATTTGGCGCGCAAAAATTCCGTATGTAGAAACATTGACTATATATTGTGCACATGAATGTATATGCCGTTTGTTTACGTACATACGGCATTTTTGCGCGCCAAATACACTTTGGTTTCATAAATAAATTGATGTAGTGATGGGAACATACATACGTGCACAAAATTATATAAAAAAAAACTGCGATTAGTTTTAACTTTACAAAACAAACAATAGAACGGCTGAATTATTAATGCTGCGTTCCGACTATTACAATTCTGAAACGAAACGATACAATGAAACGATACTACAGTGTCGCAGTCAGATTTGGCTATTTTAAATCAGAGCAATGTTTAATACCTATGTAAGTACCTTAATAATTCCAAAGGTATATAAAAATAAATACCTAGGTAAGGTAAAAGGTACTCAATTATTTGTATACCTAGGTAAGGTAAAAGGTACCACTAAATTGTACCTAGGTCCCAACACTGGATATATAGCATGTGCCAAAATGACAGAAGCCCACTGATTGCTTTAGCCCCTCTAAAATGTTTTAAGTGTAGCTAGAATAAACGTGCCAGCCCGCACATTTCTTTTTCAAGAGAAAACTTAATCCGAGCAATAAACAAGTTTTATATGAACTTTAAACTACTTAAAGAGGACGGTTTAAAGACGGCAAGAAAAATAATTACCAAATTACCACAAAAAAAATCCAAAACATCCAAAAACCTTTAAAGTTTAAATCCTTAGTCAAATTTTCCTAATTTGTTAATTTACAATCAATATTTCGGTATAACCCGTTGATATTTTAAATAATTGTTTTAATGTTATATTACCACCACTCCCGCAGTCTACTACTCGCAAGAGCACAAAGAGCTGCGGCGAAGTGAAAAACGACTCACGATTAGATGATTGAACTCGACTATCAGCTTTGTTGGATAGAAATGGTACAAAGCAACTGCTTTCCATTGCATTGAATGACAGCGGAAAATGAAGTAAAATCTAATTAAAAACCTTTGGCTGATGCTGAACCATGCGAAAATCACAATTGTCAGCGTAAAATTCACGCGCACCTGCTCACAAAACTCACGAGCACACAAACACTCGCACAGACAGATGGACAAACACCGGCGATTTCCCATACGCAAACAAATAGAGGATTGCGATTCCGAGCCCGAGTGGAGCGGAAACCTGGCAGGTGAAAAACAGACGTCGGCTGTCCAACTCCCCCAAATGCGGAATCTGGCGAAAACAGAGTAAAAGTTTTTGCCAGACAAAAAAGGCAAGGCGAACTGTTCTCCGGTTAGAAAGCGTGTGATGCCAAATGGATATGTTCCAGACTTCATTAGATTAATATATTTACAAGTTCTTTTTTTAAATAAAGCTAAGAATTACATTAGAAATAAAAAAGTATGCAAAATATATTTCACTTATTTCCCCAGATTTCAGAACACCTAGCACCTCTGACTGGACGGGATGATGCCGCGGGGTGCGAGGGGCAGATAACCTCCAGGAGCGAATGAAACGCGCTGTTGCACACGAAAAATAACAAGCTGCGTTGGTCAATTCATCGAATGTCGGTCAGGGCTGCCACCAGGGAGAAAGTGGATTGGGCGAGTGGGCTGTGGGCAATGGGCAATGGGCAGTGGAATGTTGGATCCCGAAGCCTGGAGCCCAAAGCCCGGAGGAGGGTCAGACCACCTGGCTGGGGGTCAATGCAAGGGGCGCCATCAAAGTTTCGCACCCAGGCATTTGGACATCATTGTTCGGGGAGCCAGTGGGGCCTGTGTTTGCTCTGTTTGAATTAAAAGAAATTAGTTTAGTTATGCCAATGTCCCCCGGGTTACTCTATTGAGTTATCGGCATTGTGCGAGTGGGACAACTTGGGGCCGGCGGCAGGAGACAGCTCGGATGGATAAATTGCATTTATTATGCAAGTTTTTCCTTCCAATTTGTGCGTGAGTGTGTGTGAGTCCTCTTTCCTTGCCATAGTGGTTGGATTTTCACAAAAATGCGAACATTTGCGTGTTGCTCTTGTGATGTCGGTTAACCATTATGTGGCATGAATATGCCATTTCCATTTTAATGCTCTTGGCAACGGTTCAACTCGTTGGCTGTTTGGCGACAATTCTGCATTTTTACCCAGCAAAGTTTAGCTCGTGCGGAATGTGCACCAATTGTGATTGTGTTGCGGCCTAAAAAAATACGTAAATACAAAATATACAAATGTACTACGCATTTTTAAGTCCGTAATAAAATGCGTGGAGTATAATTGAGTTCTCAATATATCGTTACTAATCATAATTATTTAAATTTTCAAATGCGTTAGCCGTATATATCCTATAAAGCAAGGACATACTACTGAAAACTACTTAAAAACAAGAAAGGAAGCTAGCTTCGGCCAGCCGAAGCTTATATACCCTTGCAGATCATTCCCATTAATTAACAAATCGCAAAAATGTTCAATTTTCTAATATTTCTCATTAATTTTCCGATCGTTCCTATGGCAGCTATATGATATAGTCGCCCGATTTTAAACAAATTAAAATTGAAATTCGGAAATATTTAAAAAGAGTCATATCCTAGAGTAGAAGATAATACAATAAAAACCAAAGAAGCTAGAATTTATTTCCTATTACTTTTCAATTAATTTTCCGATCGTTCCTATGGCAGCTATATGATATAGTAGTCCGATTTTTTAAATAATTAATTCGAAATTCAGAAATATTAAAAACACACTCATAGAAATTTTCCGGTAAAATCGCCCTAAAAACATGGAAAATCGCCCTAAAACGGGGGTCAATGGCGACTAGGCAACAAAATTAGGGCAAATTGCCCTAAAAATACGGGTGAATTTGTCATACATTTAGGGCGATTTTTCGTAGATCTAGGGCGATTTTTCTATTTTCAAAGGTAATTGCCCTAATAATAAGAAATGAGACCCTTAAACTAAAGGCAGTTTCCTTTAAATCCAGGGCGATTTTTTTGGACTTATAGGCGAATTGCCCTGGAAATTGAAAAAAATACCTTTAAACTAAAGGCAGTTTTTTATAAATCTAGGGTGTTTTTCTGGATTTTAAGGCGAATTGCCGTAGAAATAAGGAAAAATATCCTAAAACTAAAGGCAGATTTTAATAAATCTAGGGCATTTTCTCTGGATTTATAGGCGAATTGGCCTAAAGCATGCAAAATGCTCCCCAAAATTTCACGGCCATTTTTCATAAATAAAAATACAATTTTAATATATTTTTTACATTAACTACAAATATATTTACACAATTTATAGGTTTACAAATTTACATACTCTCCTATTCTTATTGCTAAATGGATTATATCGGGTTTAAAAATTATAAATAATAAATAACTTTAAAAGAAACGGCTTCCCGAGTCCGCAATGGTGTGCTTCGCGTTCTTGCTCCCGCCGTCCTTTTTTGTTCTTGCTGTCGGCACCAACACTGAATGGATCGCAAGCCAAGTTATAGTTGATTGTATCTCTATTAAATGAAAACAGTCTAATTATTATATGATAATAGAAAAAAGAGAAGCACTTACCTTCAGAGCGGCTTTCCAAAAATTTAAGCAGGTTTATTTCCTGTTGCTTCCTTACTCCTGCTTTTAATAAGTCCGAAAAGTGGTTTGCGAGAGCTGGAACTGAAAAGCGTTCTCGATCTAAAAAAAAAAAAGGAAAAATTGTTAGAAATTAATATAAAAATGCACAACCAACACACAAAATTTTCATTTAGCCTGCGATTGCGTTTGCTGCTACTCCTAGAAAAAAAAGAAGCAGCAAAAGCAAATTTCGAGCACTGACGAAATGTCGCAATAGAAATTTGGGGGTTGTTTTGGCATATGCACTTGAGAATGCGGTTTGTCCGGTGCATAAATACAGATTTCTTGTAAATATATAAATATGTATGTGTGTATTATGTTGCATCATCTTTTTAACTCAAGCATTATTTACAAATACACATACATATATGTATACTCTTATTAATACACATACATATATGTATACTCTTATTAATGATCTTACTTGGTTCTGCCACACTTCCAAGACTTCCGCTTCTGGACCGACTAGTTGAACAGGAATTTCTCCTCGTAGCTGCTTCCACTCAAATTTTTTAAAGTTTCAGCTGCGTTTTCCTTTGTTACAGATATGTAAATTCAATAAGTTATTAATATCCATATTGCACAATTATATATGTATGTACTCACTAGAAAACAGAAAAAGAATCGCCTCCCAAGTCCTTTAATAGCGTTTACATTTTTCACTTTTTCACGAACAAAAGGTTTCATACAAACACGTCTTTCACTGCCAAGCGCCCGAAAAATTATGACAAAGTCTAGACAAATCAACTCTTTCTACCCCCACCCTTGCCACTGCAGCGGACGAAAAGTAGCAAAGAAGAAGAAAAAGGGTGGACTTCTCTAAAGTCAAATGCGCAAAGCATCAAAATTCATAGAAAAAGGTCCGCCCTAATATACACACACATTCGCTTGTTTTGACCTGTCAACCACACACACATACACACATGTATTACATATGTATCCATTAATTGCGTCTTAAAATTTCGTTTGACTCTTCCTTGTTTTTAGGGCAATTTCAGTACATTTTTTTTGCTATTTTGTTATACGTTTTAGGGCGATTTCGCCCTAAAAAGACGGAATTACTTTTGGAGTCGACTCATAAAAATTCGCCCTAAAAAACAGGGCAAATTTGCCCTTTTGAAAAAACTAACCCTAAAAAATATTTTCCATGGCGATTTTTCGTATATTTAGGGCTAGCCACCCGTATAATAGGAAAATTTTTCCTAGTTTTAGGGCGACCTCGGTTTTAGGGCGACTTTTCTAGTATTTAGGTAAAATTTTCTATGAGTGCATAACATCCCCAAAAGTAGAAGGTAATATTTCAAAAAACACCGAAGCTAGAATTTTTTAGTGTTTTTTTTTCCGATCCTTCCTATGGGAGCTATAAGATATAGTTGTCCGAACCGGTCGGCTCCGACATATATACTACCTGCAATAGAAAGAAGACTTTTGCGAAAGTTTCGTCCCGATAGCTCAAAAACTGAGAGACTAGTTTGCGTAGAAACAGACAGACGGACAGACGGACGGACAGACGGACATGGCTAAATCGACTCGTCTTGTGATGCTGATCAAGAATATATATATACGGAAACGTCTCCTTTACTGCGTTGAAAACTTCTGACTGAAATCATAATACCCTCTGCAAGGGTATAACAATGGAAGGTAATTGGGTTAAAGTGGGTTGTTTTCCCTGGCATGCTTAATAATCTAAAGAGATGTTTAGTTTTTCACTACCAATGGCGAACCAGATTATACTCATGACGATGGTGCAGTTGAAATTGATAGTGGAAATATGTGCGCAGAATGGGATATTTAGAGCGCCTATCAAACACGAACACAATAAATCTTCGTCACGGGCCCAAATTGACATTTTACAGCCAAAAACCAGAAACCAAAGCCACGCGGAGGACAAAGTAAGTTCCACTAGCTCTGTTCCTGCTGCTTTTTTGTTGCTGCGGCCGCCGCTGTTTCCAAAGCCACTGATATTGTTGTCAACAATGATGGCCCAAAGCATCAGCCACATGTGTGGGAACAACAGCTCATCCCTCAACAAAGTGCCCTCACACATGCCGGCCGAAGCCAAGCCTTTATTGCCACATCTCCATGGAGCAACAGGACTAACAGCGAGAATTTAATATCTGGCACAGGGCTTGTGGATTGGGGGCGTGGCTCCATTAGAGTTAGTCCGCTGCCGCTGACGATCTGAACTCATCGCATTATCCTTTGCCCTGGTGGCGGTTACTCGCTCAAAATAATTGCACACTGCACCGCCAATAAGCCAGCTTGTTCGTTTATATACTGAAGAAATATTATTTTTTAAAAAAATATAGAGCTCAAATGTCAATTTTTTAGCTTAATAATTTTAATCTTAGGTTAGCCTTATATAAATAAATAAATTTGAAATTACAACAATTTAAAAAATTAAAAATAAATAAATTAAAATAATTAAAACTACAAATAAAAGGTATATTAAAGAAATGTCTTCTAACCGGATTCAAGCTTTTAAGCCGATCAAATCAAAGGGTTCAATTTCAAAACAAACATGCCCCAAACCTTCAGAGATGTCAATCCCCCACAACATTTTTGCAAATAAGAGAAATACCCATTTATTTTAAAAAGGTTATTATGAACTAAATTAATTATCCACTTATTTCAATCACAACTAATTACCAAATGCATATTTCTTTATGAACATATATATTTTATGCTATTTTTTTTCTGTGCATTTCTAGGTCATCAGTCAGTCAGTGCCTAACGTCAAAAGCATTAAACCTCCGACCAGCTGTCAACACAACGGAAAAATTGGCGTCGCAAGCGTCAGATTTTGCGGCGTCTAAGTAGATCGATTTAAAATATGTAACTATTGCTGTTTTGAGTTTTGATTATGCTTATCTATAAAAAAAAGTAAGTTAATTAATAGGATTGTTGAAAAATCGATAGTGGACACCATCGATGTTTTTGGCTATCAATGGTGGTCACTATCGATATTATCGATAGTATCGAAAATTAAAGAAAATAAACAACAAAACAGATAATTTGTATCTAAAATTAAATAAGTTAATAATGTGATTGAATCGTGTTTTAGAGGTTTTTAGAAAAGTTGAATATGGTCTTTTTTTGAGACTTTCTCATAAAACATTTAGCACAAAGTCTTAAAGCTTCTGTATCAAAAAATAAGTTCAAGGGTGAAAATGTCAATTAGTTTGATTAGTTTAAAAATACATCTATACGAAATCGAAAGAAACTGATTTTATCTATAACATTAAAAACATAATCATGTGCGGTTTCATGGGGGTATAAGTCGCCCGACACACCATTAGGGAAGGGCAGTAAGCCTTCTTCTCCCGTTTTGAGCAAGTCGAACATCAATGCATGCAGACTGAGAATCGAAATCTTTGGAAAAATTGTCAAAGTATTTTTTTATTTGTAAGAATTTTACATGGGTTTGGTATATTTTTTAATAGTTTCGGCACTTTGTCGGGTATAATAGAACTTTTTTAAATTTTAAGACGTAATTAATCCATTCACCTATATTGCAGTCGGCCGCAATGAAACCTGATGAAGAGAAGGCCATCCTAAATAAACACAATATGTATAGAGAATTGCACGGCTGCCCCCCGCTGACCTTAGTTGAATCTTACTCGAAGGATTGCATGGAATACGCAAAAGTATGTTCCGGTTTGTATACCTGTTATTTGTAAAATAAAAGGGTATATTGCCTTCGTCGAAAAGTTTGTAACAGGTAGAAGCAAGCTTTTCTTGACCAGGATGAGGAATCGAGTCGATCTAGCTATGTCCGCCTGTCGGTCTGATCTTATGAATGACTGAGGAAGCAGATTTTGGGGATTTATGCTAAGCGCAAGTGTGCACGCCCACTCTAACTCAAGCCACTGCCTTCTGCATGTCGGCACCTTTAACAGAATAGCGTTAATTCTAGTGTTAAAGCTGGGTAATGGGTATAAAATAGTCGAGACATTCGACTTCGCATTTTTTTTTTGGTTGCATTAATTTTTCAACTTCCGATACACTCTAATTTGCTTGTACAGGAGTTAGCAGCTATAGAAACGTTGAAGAAATCGAGTGATGCAGACATAAAATACGGTGAAAATTTGTGCCTGCGGTCACAAGAACCTACATTGTGTGTTCGAGATTGGTACGATCAATGCGAAAACTACGACTATGATGATCCCAACTTAAGCGAGTTAACTTCCCATTTTACCGCTCTTATTTGGAAGAATGCTAGGGAACTAGGATTTGGGCATGCTAGAGGTAAAAATGGACGCTACTGGGTGGTAGCAAGATATTATCCACCAGTGAATATTAAAGGAGAGTTCAAAGAAAATGTTCCAAAGCGAATCAAGCAGTTAATAACTCGTCATATTTCACAATTATGTTTTTATAATAATTTTTTAACATCAATTTTTATTGCAGGGAAAATCATGGGGGTAATGGCAGTTTTGAATTTCAACAAGGAAATAAAGACGCCTCTCATAGGACTGGAATTAATACCGTTCTCATCTTTCTTACCTTGTGCCTGACCTTCACTACATAAGATCAATATTACTAAGCATTCTTTGTAAATTTCTAGTTGACAAATTCAAAAAAATTAATTGAATTTTATAGTGCATTTAACAATAAATTATTTTTAAAAAAGTCTTGCTGTGATATGGGTATTTTTTACCGGTTTTTAGTTTACTTAAATAGATTTATACTATTTCCTGTTAATAGGCGTTCTAGTACAGACTGCGTTATATACACAAAACCAAAGGACCGAAAATAAAAAGAAAAGACGCCTCTAGATGCCTGTCAAATATTTTTTGGCACACATTTTTCCTTGTATTTTTTTAAGCCTGTTCACCGGATCATGTTGGATGTCAATAGAGGTGAACACATTACTTCAATGGCTCAAAGGCTTTGATTGACTCAAATAATGATCTTAATCTTAAAGGCAATTATATAGAAGGCCATCTAAGCAATTTTTTGGCATTGGTTTTAATACAATTGAGCACAGACCCTCGAAGGTATCTTAAATCAAAACATTAAATGTTGCTATTTTTTTCAAACCGCGATTGCACAAATACCACCCGTTAAACGCGAAAACTAACTAACTAAAACTACGTCTATATTAACACAATTTAATGCCCATTGGTCTGCACCAAAAACACTGTCGGCCTGTGTTATTGCTGGAAATCTGTGAAGCGAAATAACACTTTTTGTGCTTGTAAAAGTGTTGGGTTAATTTGAGCTCGTGCGATAAGGATATTCAATTTTTTCAATAGGTGTAAGATCCCAACGCTTGGAACTGGCCTTTTTTTCTTTCCGTATTTATTATAATCTTTTTTTAGCAATCCGCATCAGGCCAACTGAATCCCCCATTGGCCATGCCTGTGTCAACAAAAGGGAGGAAAAGATTTAGATATGCTCCCGCGTTCGTGGGATTGTCGTTTAACATTTGGCTATGTTTACCCTATACTTGTTACGTTAAAGGGTATACTCGTGCGATTCCGACCGAAAGTAACAAACACCTTTACCTACACACTTTTATGTCTCAAAGATGATCAAGTAATGTATTTTAAGTTTTAATGGGTTCCTCCCAAGCAACACTGCTAACGCAGTGTCTATATAATTTTTTAAAAGCAAACCCTTTGGTTTTTAAAAAAAATTATCTACCATATAATGTGTGCAAGATATTTTGCACCGGATATCTCATAGTCGGAGCACTCAACTACAAGGTTATATCTTGCTTTGTTTTCCTACATGTCTGTTCCCAAGTGTAAGTCCATGTCTGGGGCCTAGCAGCTGCCGGGAGCGCATTAAATCCTTAAGCACTCATTATTATTCAATCAGATATGGAGTCGAATGCCTTTTTGTTTGGCTCTCACTTGGCCTCGCTTTCTGGCTGTCTGCGCCGTGCGTGGGCTCACCTAATGACATTCAAATTGCTTCCATCTCCGGTCGGTTTCAATTGGAACACCTTCAACAAAAATTAATGGAATTATAGATCACGGCGCTCAGGGAAGTGAGCTCCCCAGATGATTCTTTGACGACGGCTTGAGTGGGACAGTTACCTTTCCCTAGTTGTTTATAATAGGGATTAACTTTTTCAGAGATTATACAAACTGCACTAAGGCCGCATATTATTTCAAGCTTATTTGAAAAATAAAATATTTATATATATGCGAATAACAATGTTTCAATCTCTATCATTTCACGGACTTTAAAACATTTTTCCGTTGTCACTTCATTAGGGCTTGAGTTTGACGGAGAGCAGGGTCTGTCAACTATTTATAACTTGAACTTAGTCGTAAATTTTATGTGCATCGTAAAGGCCGAAAGTTTGAGCAGCGCACAGGGAAAATGTTGTGAAATCAAATTTACACACAAACCATCCCTAATGACCCTGCCCACAAACAGAACGGAAACGCGGAGGAGCCCTTCCGGAAAAGGACAAATTCAAGACGCGGGACGAAATGTCTGGTTGGCAGGACTTTATTCCGCGGGACTGGAAATTGTTTAATTTCGCCCTCGCTTAATTATCTGCAGTGTGCCGGGTGCTTAAATTATAATGGCGCTGACCTAATTGAGTAATAATTAAAATTAAGTGCATGCTAAATTGTTATTAATTATAGAGTGCACGCGAAGATGCCACCGACTTCCATCGATGGCGTGCAGAGGGACACTTAAAAGTAGCAGTATAGTTTGTTGCAAGTGTCACCAAATGGCAAACTGCATGCTGAAAGTTATAGTCCAACCAGACAAATTAGAATTGCAACTTTAGTTAAGAGAGTTCTTGGCCATACATTTGTGATGGAAAAACTATAATGCATAATAATAAAATAAGAGAGAACGCTATAGTCGGGTGCACCGACTATCAGATACCCGTTACTCAGCTAAAGGGAGTGCGAAGGAGATGGAGATAAAGACTTTGATCCACCGTAGCTTTTTAACGAATGGTCCGATTTAAAAAATTTCTTCTACATTTCGATAGGTGTTCATAAACACAATAGAACTGCATTTTTACTTTTCCGAAATATTGAAATTTTTTAAATCGTATATAAGCGATTGTGGGCGTTAGAGGGGGCGTGGCACCCTTTTGAAACAAACTTGCACTGCGTAGGAACTCCTAGAATCTGCATGCAAAATGTCAATCTTCTAGCTTTTATAGTTTCCGAGATCTCAGCGTTCATACGGACAGACAGACATGGCTATATTCACTCGGCTAGTGACCCTGATCAAGAATATATATACTTTATAGGGTCGGAAATGCTTCCTTCTAGCTGTTACATACTTTTGCACGAATAAAATATACCCTTTTACTCTACGAGTAACTGGTATAATAAAAATACAATTTTGTATAGAAGGCGACTCAGGCCTTACAAATATTATCTTTTATTTATTGAAACAATCTAAAAGTTGATTTACTTCTCCTAACGACTAATGGCTGTGCCCAGAAATTAAACGCGCCAGTCGCAACTAATGCAATCCCACCCTCATTCAGATAGAGGGAGTTCAGCAGTTGCAGTGACACATTTCAATATAAATTATTGTCAATGGGAGTGCATAAAATGTCGCATGTAGCTGCAACATGAAAACACCGAACAACAAATATAACCAGGGCTAAAAACAAAAGGAAAACCCAGCAAATCGCGTTATTCATCGTTAAAGCAACTGCAGGCTGCAGAGCGATGACGACAGCGACGGACGACGAGATGGATGTACGGGGCGTATGCGCAATGCGATATGCAACAAATTGCTAAACAAATCAAATTTATTGCCAGAACTGCCAGCATTTGCAGTACCCATGTAAAGCGTCCCCGAGATAGCAGAAATTAATATGAGTCCGCGCCCCTCGTTTGGCTATCAGCGTTGTTGTAACTTCATTTGGACCCGGTTTGGTCCTTGGTCCTTTTGTAGCTGTGCGGTTGGTTTTCCCAACTCGCGTTTCATTCTTTCGGTTAAACTGCATTTTTGCCGGCGCAGACTGCATGCATAACAACATGGCGGTCGCTCTGACCGGAAGTCCGACTTGTACGGCGTTAAATTTATGCCAGAATGCAGCTTCACAGTTGCAGCTGCAGCTTCAGATCCTTTTCATACTGAAGCTGCTGTTTGCCCGCACTGGTACAATGGGTTAAACGAGATGGACGAGATGAAAGCTGGGGGAATCAGCGGGAATTCCAGTTGCACCTCTTCAAGTTAATTTAACTTGTACTCTTTCTGTAAGAAAGAAAATTTTATTAAAACTTGTAACTGTCTTTGCTGATTTTATTAAAATTATATTAGTTTAATTAACCTTTAGAAAAAGACATGCAAAATTGCGTTTATACTTCTCGGAAATCTTTAAAGGTGTGGGCGCCAGGCACATTTTAAAATCGTTAGTAGGCGATTGTGTGCGTTATGAGTGCCCAAGAATATGTGAGGCTAATCCAAACTTTCTAGCTTTTGTAGTTTCCGAAATCTCTCATACAGACGGACGGACAGGCAAACAGACATGGCTGTATCGAATCGGCTAGTGACCCTGATCAAGAATATATATACCTTGTAGCTTCCTTCTAGCTGTTACATAGTTTTGCACGAATCTAATATACCCTTTTACTCTACGAGTAACGGGTATAAAAAGATTGTATTCGTGCAAAACTATGTAACAGGTAGAAAGAAGCTACAAGGTATATATATTCTTGATCAGGGTCACTTCTACCTGTTACATAGTTTTGCACGAATACAATCTTTTTATACCCGTTACTCGTAGAGTAAAAGGGTATATTAGATTCGTGCAAATGTATGTAACAGCTAGAAGGAAGCGTTTCCGACCCCATAAAGTATGTATATTCTTGATCAGGGTCACTAGCCGAGTCGATCTAGCCATGTCCGTCTGTCCGTCTGTCCGTCTGTATGAACGCTGAGATCTCAGAAACTACAAAAGCTAGAAGGTTGAGATTTGCCACACATATTCTTTGGCTTCCTACGCAGCGCAAGTTAGCCGAGCGCTACGCCCCCTCTAACGCCCACAATTGCCCACTAACGATTTTAAAATGGGTCCTGCGCCCACATCCTTAAAGATTTCCGAGAAGTATAAATGCAATTTTGTTGTGTATATTTATACCTATCGAAATGTAGAAGACATTTTTCAAATCGGACCATTCATTAAAAAGTTATACGCAAACAAAATTTATATATCTATCTCCCTCGCACTATCCAGTACAGCGTTTGCACTCCCTTTAGCTGAGTGACGGGTATTAGATAGTCGGCACACCAACCCGACTATAGCGTTCTCTCTTGTTTTTTATCTTTACTCTTTTACGAGTAACGGGTATAAAAAATACCACGACTCAAATTACAAGAGTGGCAGCGGGAAGAAGAAATTCCCTCAAGTCGAAATAGAGCGAGGTGGGCCTATAGTTGCACATTTGAAATTCGAACTGGACGACTTAGAAAATGTTGTTTTTATTTCGAGCATATCAAATTGAGATGCCGCATAAAAAAACTGATAGCACATAATAAAAAATTGATTATCGTTTCATATCATTTTTTTTTTATTTATAAAATAATATTAAATTAAGTAAAAATCTATTTCCCTACAAGGCACAAATGTCCTCGACTGTCGCTTTGCCCAATAACGACTTAATGTTGATAGAGTCCTGCCCATTGTCGCCGCTTGGGCAGTTATCCTAGTTGTTGATTTTTATTTTCTCAATTAGGAAGCTGTTTTTATTATTGTTGTGCGCTGCGTACAGTTAAACAAACTAAGCAAGGGGTAGGCGGGTGGGTGGCAAACATGGCCACGCCCACTCCCGCTGGCGAAAGGGGAGGACGGAGGCGTTGGCGGCGGCAGACACTTATTCATCAGGCGGAAGTTTGCTTGCCTCGCCCATTGTTGTTGCGGCCGTTTGTTGCTGTTGTTGTTCAGCAGACTTGTTAGTTGTTCGTGGGTGTTTGCCGCCTCATGCAAATTGCATAAGTAACGAAAGCGAGGAAAAAAACGCCTGGCGAGAAGTAAGGCGAAAAAGCAGAAAGTAAAAAGTAAAAACCAACAAGGAAAATAGTGGCAAACAAAGTTGCCTTCGCCAAACTCCCCCGTACACTCGTATATTTTTTGAATTTATATTTAACTGTATTACAAGGCAACTGCTCCCCCAGCCCCACCACCATCCACACACCCGTTTACATCTCCATTGCCATCCAAAGCCAGCCAACGGAATCGGAAGTTATAGTTATGCCGCTTGCGCGGACGCATTCTGCAAATATATTTTTGCCAGGCACAACAGCAACAAAAGTTTATTTAAAACTTTTGCGGTTAAGCTTGTTACTTGCCAGCTACTTTTCCCAACGCCCTTCGCCCTCAGAAATGCTAACTCGTTTAGCTCAAGAGTTCCGCCCTAGAAAATATTCGAGCTGCACTTTTCCACAGTTTCCACAGGGCGAGCCATAAACATTTTCAAGCAGCACGTGTAGCCCATCGGTGGTCATAAAAATTATACAGACTTTGGCTTTGACTCCGCCATTAATGTCGAGAGGTGTCCGACCCCGGGCGCCGCTCAATCTCGTCTTAATCAGCTGGCAGATTAACCAACTTTATGCAGCTGCTTAAATTTTCAGCATTCTATTTGCTACCCCTGGTGTTGGCATCATAAAAATTTTCAATTTCATTTGCCTGGCACAAAGAACGGGACCAGCAGAAGCAGAAGCAGTGGAAGAGAAGCAGTAGCAGGCGAAACAGCGAGGAGCAGCGGCAAGTGCAGGATGCTACTGGCATATCGATGACGGCCACTGCCACCTCCTCCCCGGAAATAGGGGATTCTCCTGCAGAAAGGAGCGCTGTCCACCCCGACAGACCGGGCCAATAAAAGTGTCGAAGGCTGCCTGACAAAGCGCCGGCCTGCTTTGTATTTATGATGAGCCATCCGTGCCAAAGTCCCTCGTCGTGCCAATCCCGTGCCTCCTGCGGGTCACACAGTCCCCTCCAGCCCGATCCCCTAACTCCTCACGGAAGCTGCCTTGCACTGTTCATAGGAGCTGGCACATAGACCAGCTAGCTATTCCTGGTCTAAATGAAAGTACACTGGAATATTGCCTTTAATAGAATATCTAAAAAGTATCAAAACAAATTATAAAAGGAAAGGTGAAATATTTGAAACATAACTAATTGCATAGTTTGAAATAAATTTGTAATCAACTTTAATATCGTATTTGTCGGAAGGTATGTAACAAGTAGAAGAAAGCGTTTTTGAACTGAGATCTCAAAAACTATAAACAGCTTGAAGATTGGGATTAACAGTGCAGATTCGAGGGGTTCCTATGCATTGCAAACATAATTCATTAATGTACCGCTCCCCTTAACGCCCACAAACAGCAAATACTGTGGCGCCTACAAATTTGATACTAGAATGAAAATTTAAGTTGAAATGTATTTGTTTCGTAAATACCTACCGATTGACCAAAAACAAGTTTTTTTCTAACAAAACTCCAACGCACTTCTATGTATGTGGTATTTATACCCGTTACTCGTAGAGTAAATTGTATTCGTGCAAAAGTATGTAACAGCTAGAAGGAAGCGTTTCCGACCCCATAAAGTATATTTTCTCTTGATCAGGGTCACTAGCCGAGTCGATCTAGCCATGTCCGTCTGTCCGTCTGTCCGTCTGTCCGTCTGTCTGTCTGTCTGTCTGTCTGTCCGTCTGTATGAACGCTGAGATTTCGGAAACTACAAAAGCTAGAAGGTTGAGATTTCCCACACATATTCTTGGGCCTCCTACGCAGCGCAAGTTTATTTCAGCCGAGCGCCACGACCCCTCTAACGCCCACAATCGCCCATTAACGATTATAAAATGTGTCCTGCGCCCACATCTTTAAAGATTTCCGAGAAGTATAAATGCAATTTTGTTGTGTATATTTATACCTATCGAAATGTAGAAGACATTTTTCAAATCGGACCATTCATTAAAAAGTTATACGCAATCAAAATATCTATATATATCTATCTCCCTCGCACTCCCTTTGGCTGAGTTACGATTATAGTCGGGACACCAACCCGAGTACAGCGTTCGCACTCCCTTTAGCCAAAGACCATATTCTAATGTCTTTGCTTTAGCTGAGTGACGGGTATTAAATATTCGGGACACCAACCCGACTATATCGTTCTCTCTTGTTTTTTATAGGACTTGACTATTATACAAGCGATATACATATCGTAAATATTTTGTTTAAATTTTATTCAGGACTTGAGTGACAGCTATTTCCTTCCCTTCTTTTTAGTTTCTCTTCCTAATCGGCAGTTGGCATCACTGACGCCAAGAACATGTCCTGCAGTTAGAGTTCGTGCGGGTCACAGTGGGATGCCTGCCATGCGAATTGGGAGCACTGGAGCTACAGCCTCACCATTGATGGAATTCCAATAAATCCTCCTCTCAGCTGGCTCCTCTTTTTCTCGGGTGTGTGTGTGTTTTAACCGCTGCAGAAGCAGAAGCAGCAGCAGCTCTTAGTGCCATATTTTTGTTGGGCATTTGAATTTTGAGCTTTTGTGGGATGGTGTCTCCCTGCCCGTCTCCATGGGAAATAAATTATGGCTTAATTTAATTTGAGGTGCCTGCCCGGTCACCGCCTGCAACTGTGGCGAAATCTGTCTGTGGTTGCTGGATTTATATGCAAGCGAGTGTGGAGGCCTTAGATTAGTTGCCAATTCGCTTCGGCCCTTCGGTGATGCATGGCAATAGGCGATTTTTGAAAAAAAAATCGGCTTCCTTTGGTCCATCGATGCATGGAAATCTAGAAGAAGGAGGTAATTGGCTAACAGCGTTTTTAAAACCTTGGTTCAAAACGAGGTTTGGGATCCATATCAGTGTTCTTCTAAAAATTCTTAGTTTAAATTTGCTTTTTGTTTTAATTAGACGGGTGTCAGAATAAAACCCTTCTGAACGAGGTTAAGAGGTATTTCGCCAACTCAAACATTCGAAATTTTTGATGATGATTTTGTGACGATATCGGATCGCTGAGGAATAGGACCCTGCGTTTCCTATAAGTAACATTTTTTTCTGGCTGGGGAAAGGGAAATAAAAATACAGTAGAATAAATTCACAATTTAATTTTTTGTTAAATTTTGCACGATTATCATTAGAATACTATAAGTATTGGAAATAATCCTAATCAGGTAGTTATTTTCATGAGCTTATTGCCACTCGCATCCATAGTGGTCCTGAGCGCAGTCGACAATGCTCGTTTTCTGGCCACATCCACTATAGCGTATTCCCCGATGATTTGCACCAAATGGGTTAATGCGTTTGTTAGTGTGCAGGAATTGTGACTTTCGATTACAGATGACTGGAGAATATATATCTTGAGGGCGGTGGCCAGCATCTAACAAAAAATATACAAATTCAACTTAGTGGAGAGTCAAAGGCAAGCGCGAATGAATTTATTATGCAGATATCATATGTTTTCTTAATATTCATTTTATGTAATTGTGTCGTCCAAATTTGACTGGAATTCAATGAAAAACTGTACTCCCGTCCTACTTACCTTCATGTAGTCGGGATCGATTCCATTTTTCAAATGCGTGGGGAGGTTTTCATCCAAGGCCATGCGGAATGCTAAATTAGTATCCAACGTTTGAACCAGCTTCGACATTAGCTTCATCATTGCCATGGCATGGCCATGCAGCTTACTTAGGTTGATTTTTCCATCTCGCCTAAAGAAGTTAATAAGGTTTTCGTGCTGCGTAAGGAAACTGACGCACATAAAAAAAAGGTAAAAGGTAAAATTTAATATGTTGATCAATAACGACTACCTGTAGAAATTTTCCTTGCCAAATCGGCGCTGGAATGGCTCAATTAATCGCCAGGCATTGCGCAAGGCGGCCTTCTCCACCATTGTAAACTCATTTTCATCGGGTTTGTAGCTTAAATCTAGTTCAGGCAGTGGTTTTGGATAAACCGGCAGGTCCACATGGCGACGCTGTTCCTCATCACTTCCTTCCGATTGAACTGTTTGGCTTATGTGGCTAAAGTGGCTAATTTGGCTCATATTTCATAGTTTATTCTGTAATAAATATTAATATTGATTTATTTTCTAAAAACTTTAATCCTTTCAGAATGGATTTGGTAAGCATTCCAATGCCTACTGTGGTCTACTTATTGGAACTCTCTATTAGAGAGTCTCAATCTTTGAAAGTTCGTTTGGACAGTGTAAGTACAAATAAAATATATAGAAAAATTAAACAAAAAATTACAACGCGTCAAATGTCGCCTCATATGTTAAAATCCGGAGCTCCGTTCAAACGATAAAAAGTTTTGTTCTATGACTTTTTGTAAAAACCAGGGATTATAAATAAGAGTTAAATTAAAGTTAATTAACTTTTAATCTCCAATTTTTATTATAAAAGTTGACAAATAACTCTTACGCTTCAATTTTTATTATAAAAATAAACAAATAAGAGTTATTTGTCAACTTTTATAATAAAAATTGAAAATAAAGATTGAATTGAAATAACTCTTGAACGAAGGGGTTCATTAGTTTAAAATGTATATCTATAAAATCTACCCTTGAATACCTTTCTGTTGATATGCCATATGTCCCCAGAATATTTTTTATAATGTATCAAATGTGTGTATGCACCCTTGCTTAACATTTATTTTTCTTATCCCATTTGGTACATTGGGGAATATGAGTTATATGTAAATTTTTTTGAATAGGTTAACTCTTATTTACGATCCCTGGTAAAAACAGCAATAAATATAAAAATGTCTAACGCCTTTAATTCACTAAAGCTGCTAACTTCTTATTTATAGCGTTAAAAAAGTATTTTTAAATCCTATAGACGTCTCCTGAACTTAGTTTGATCCTGTACAAATTCGACGGTTAAATCCCACCCTCTCAGATGAAATATAAATCAAAATCTGCTATTTAAAAAGTTTGCAACAAAAAATTGGTTCTGAAAAATTGAATATCTGAGTAACTAGTATCCTCGAGTATATTAGTCGAGGGACTACAGCGTTCGAATTCCAATTTGATTGGTGTTATACTTAGTTCAAAATAGGCTTTAATATTGGTTCATAAAGAACTTACATACCTAGTTTTGGACGCATTTTACACTTCTTTTGTGGCGAGGCAATAATTAATGTGGAGCATGTTTGGAAATACGTAAGCGTAGCAGAAAAGTAATCCGAAAATAAAGATATGAAAGCGAAAGTTAAAAGTTGAGCAGCGGCAGCAACAAACAAACAAGCAAACAACGCATCAACGCAAACAGCATGAAAAGCGCGTGGGGTGAAAAACTTTTTCGGGTGAAATTTTCTCATTAAGCGCAATGCAGTTTGCAACTCCCCCTGCCACCCCCAGCCCCATCCACCCTTCCGCCCTGCTGGCTAACCGGAAATGCATCAGTGTCAGTTTCGCTGGCTGCGCAATTTCGTTAAGAAGTGCGCAAAGTTGTTAAATTTTACGATTTAATTGCGAAACTATTAAAAATTACGTCGCCTTTCGTTGGGCGCGAGCTGCAGTTGCTGTCGTAGTTGGAGTTGTTGGAGTTGCTGTTGCGGATGTTGCTGCTGCGGCTGCCACAAGCAGCAATGCCGCAAAGTTTTAAGTATCAAAATGGAGCGCTTAATGGTGCCCCCATAATCACACAGAAAAAAATGAAATAGAAAATTTAACTTCTTAGAAGAAAGATTAATACATATTTATAATTCTCAAACCTTCAAAATTTCAAAAAATGTTATTATTAATATATATAGCATTTTATTATTAATATAAATAAGTTCTGTAAACCTTTTTTTTTCGTGTACTCGAACAGTGACAGACTTGGCCGCGTATCTACTTCGGCACATTGGCAAAATATGCTGCCTACCCATGTTTCCGTTCCACTACCCCCTCTTCTCGCCAATTTTTTCCGCACTTTGCGACCCTCGTAAATATAATTTGAGCAAAAGAGTTTATTAAAGTTGCAATTGATAGGGGGAGAAGCTCTTGGAGCCCCTGCCAGCCACTCGCGTAATAAAATGACAAAATGAAATGGTTAAATTAATGTGCAGCGTAATCAACGTTCGCCTGCTAACGAGAACATGAGGAAAAAGTTGAAATCTCTGGCCCGGCAGTCAAGACAAATTAACTTAATTACTCCAAACTGACTGCGAGCCTGGCAAATGTTCCTCTCTCCCCTCGGAACTCGCGACTCAGCCATAACAGCCCACGCAAAGGTGAAAGTTTCATATGGCACTCAAGGAATGGGAGGTTGCCATTGGGGAAATGGGAATGAAATTATACAAATGATTTAAGCAGAATATTTCTGTAAATTTGTTGGATGTTCATACTAATTTTATTGCAAGCGTATTTTGCACCCAAGTTGGTAGTGCTTGAGAACGAAAGTTTTGCCTTTGAAGGAGCTCAGGCTAAGTCAACAGAACCGTGATTCTTGGTATACTTAGCAGATTTCTCTAGAAATTCAGCAGGTTTATTATAAATGTGCCATTACTCAATCTGCAGAGAAATTTTAAATATTATTTCATATATTTGGTTTATAGTTAATAATACGTATAAAGCACACGGCAAGCCGAAGCTTATATACCCTAGCAGATCATTCTATTAATTTACAAATCGCAAAAATGTTAAATTTCTTATTATTTCACATTAATTTTTCGATCGTTTCTATCACAGCTATATGATATAGTAGTTCGATCTTTTAAAAATTAAAATCGAAATTTGGAAATATTTCAAAATAGTCATATCCCAGAGTAGAAGGGAATGTATTAAAAACCAACAGAGATATAATTTTTTTCCCATTAATTTCCATTTAATTTTTCGACCGTTCCTATGGCAGCTATATGATATAGTGATCCGATTTAAAAAACAAAAAAACCGAAATTCAAAAATATATAAAAAAAAATATTCCTATGAGTAGAAGGTAAAATTTCAAAAAACACCGGAGCTAGAATTTTTTTACGTTTTTTTTTTTGATCCTTCCTATGGGAGCTATAAGATATAGTTGCCCGATCCGGTTGGTTCCGACTTATATACTACCTGCAATAGAAACAAGACTTTTGGGAAAGTTTTATCCCGATAGCTCAAAAACTGAGAGACTAGTTTGCGTAGAAACAGACAGACGGACAGACGGACGGACAGACGGACATGGCTGATCAAGAATATATATAATTTATGGGGTCGGAAACGTCTCCTTCACTGCGTTGCAAACTTCTGACTGAAATCATAATACCCTCTGCAGGGGTATAATAATAATTTATATTTTTTCGAGTTTGTGTTAAATTGGTTTAACCTTAGATTAAATAAGTTCAAACCCTCTGTGTATCCCAAACTATTTAAGATAAAATTACATTATTCCAATATCCCCGCCACACACACAAAACATCCTGATATTCGGCTCTTAATTTGCTTGTACTCATGTTCATTTGAAATATTTCAATAGATTGCAATTGATATAAAAACCCCGTCTGCGGTTAAATTGTATGGCATGGTAGATAAACAATAATTACGCACATTTAAACACACGCAAATTAACTTGAGCGCATACTCATATGACCAACTGTGTGTTCAGTTGTTGCCGGCAGGATGGTTGGATCGTTGGATGTTTGGATGGCTGGATGGTTATATGGTCGGTTGGCCAGTCGGACTGCTGGTCTGTTCTGGTCATTACAGATTTATCGCAACATAATGTAGGTGTGCACGATTTATGCACAGTTTGCTGAGAGCGACAACAGTAACGATGCCAACAAATCACAGTCGGCAGTAACAACAATAATGATGATATGGCACGGGCACCAAGAAGCGCAGTGGCAGCAAGCACAACAAAAAGCCCCCAGCCATCAAAAGGCAACAATGGAAGACCGGAGGCTCTGTGCATGTGGGGTGCTGATTGCCACCTATTCTGGTACACCCAGAAAAAAATGGTTGGCAAATAAATTGAAGAATTGCTCCGAATGCATTTGAATGCTATAAATAAGAGTACTTTTATTTTATATCTTAAATGTGACCGGGGGTGTCACAGAAATCTTTGTCAACCTTACGCTCAAAACCAACCGTCTTTGGTAGGAAAAGATTTTTATAACACCCCAGTATGATTTAGAATAAAAAATACAACTTTTTATGATTTGTAGTATAAACGTATAAGACAAAAATATTTCTTTATGTGTCATTTTTGCGAGACTCTGGAGCTATCTGCTCGGAACTCTGGCGAAATCCTGCCTCCCGGCTGAAGTGTTCCATGGAACCCAACGCTAGCTGAGTGTGTGTGTGTGCGGAGTGTGTGAAATGCGTATGTGTTGGGGTCAGCCCTTTGCGGAAGCGGAAACGCCCCACAAATCGTGGCCTAATGATCGGGCTTTTATTTAATTAATTGTTGATAACAGTTTCATGCCCAGCGGAAATGCGTCACCGATGGGTCCGCCCAGCCCTCAGTCGTTAACCCTTTACTAGGCAATCTGGTTTTTGTGGTGGCTTACATTCTGTCTTAATTCTCTTCAGCGCTTATTTTAATACATCACATAATTAGCTGGGTGCGAAACGATGATTCAAATCGATCTCACAACCATTAACGCTGAACATTTCTGAGATTTTTGTTTGTCCGATTTCTCGGCAATTTCACGCCACATGCGATTCAATATGGCCAGACCCAACCTGCCCAGCCCTCCCTGGAAACTGCTACCATCGACATCCGCATGCCGCACAATGGGATAATTAAAATGCTGGGCTGTGGCATCGACAGAGATGCACGCTTAACCCCTTGTGGCAACCTGGAGACGCAGACGGAGGAGAAGGAGAGGTCGTGGTGTCCCAGTGTCATTACAATGCAATTATCAGTTACAATAAAAACGGCCACAACTCAAAAATTTAATTGAAGCCCACGCACGGGGGCGTAATTGTTAACTTTCATTACGTAATATCCGTAACGGGCCCCGGATCCGGAGTCGAACTCGGAACCGTTCAGTAGCCTTGGCCTCTCGGGGGATTATGGTGGAAAGTGGCGGCAAAAAGCTGAAAAATTGCAATGCTTTCATTACGCATCCCATTGCATATTTTTGTTGGGATTCCCGGTGCTCTTTATCTCCGCACTTTACCCTCCCACTGGCTGGGCAATTACGCCAGCACGCATATAT